GAAAAGAAATAATAAATTTAAAAAATAGAATTCATGAGAAAAATCATCAATGATGAATAATTTTTCTCTTCAATTTTTTAAATTTATTTTTTCTCGCTACATTCAACAACTCAACTGGAGTTGAGGTGCAGTAAAGGTGAAATCATTCCTTCACCTTTACATTCAGGCCGTCAGTTTTTTTCCTTGTTTGATAATATGAAAGATTCTGCATGTCTTTTCACAGCGGTGTTCTCTTGATTTTTTGGTTTGCGAAACAAAATAGAAAATTGTAATCATCGAGGGAAGTTAATCTCTCAGTCCATGCAGAGCAGATCTTGCGTGATTCGCCAGAAGTTCAGAGCGAAGAGAGATTACAAGAGGCGTGAAAAGATTCTGGGGAGGAATGGGGATTCACACGGGGTGGATTATATACACGTTTATAACGGGGGTGTAGAGAGGAGACAAAATGGCGTCCCGGAGGGAAACACGACACCAAATCGAAGTAGACGCCATCGCGAAATCCGTGAACCGCCCCTATCCACCCATCCCAAGATATCTCACGGATAAGCTGTTTTGAAAATTCGTTCAATTCATCGGCTTGGCGAAAAATTAATGAGGGAAAACCCATTAGAGGGCATTCGATTTTTCTTGCGTTACCGGATGTCTAGAGTTATAACTGCAGATCAAAAATCTTTTCCTCGAAAAATGGCATTATTGAATATTTTTCCCAATCGGATTTCGACCGATCAGAGCGCAGTATTTGAGGCTAATCGACAGTTTTATTTCGGATATTTCCTCCTAGCTTTTGAATATTTCGCAGTAGTTCTTCATTTTTTTTACCTGAATATTTCGCAGTAGCTCTTCATTTTTTCGGTTCATTTCAGATATAATCTTATATTTGACATAATTTGTTCAAATCTTCCCCAATTCACCTCCCGATGTTGTCCACTGCACTCTGCTTGGCCAAAATCCGATTGGGAAAAATAATCCGACAAATATCCCTCGAGATTAAAAATTAATCGGGTATTTCCCTCAAGCTCCTCTGCAAACAAACCATCGTGCCAAGTTTTGCAGAAACATCCCTCGCGCAAGCGCTCGGGATTTTTTAACCTGCAAAACTTGACACCCTCATTTGTTTGCAACGAAGCTATCGGGAAATACCCGATAATTTTAAAGCTCTTGGGGTATTACTACTGATTATTTAAATAATAAATTTGCACGCATGTGAGATATTTTCAAAACACTGACACCAATTTTTGTCATTCGTGCTTGAATAGAATGTTCTTTCCACTGGTAATTGATCATTATTTTAAAGACGTATGTGACAGAACATTTTTTTGGGTGATATAATTAAGGTCGTGAACAAGAAATTAAATGGAGTAGCGAAGTGGTAAAACGGTTCAACTCGACTCATCTCTCAGTTGAGTTTTTGAGGCATATCTCCGAATCTAAGGGAGATAGCGAAATTTTCATAATGAAATTTGTTGCAGCTCTCAATCGGCTCCGCAAAAAAGGTTATGACAACAATTTTGCTAGCTCCCTCAGATTCCGAGATATTCATTGACAACTGGTCGATACTGAAAATTGACTTGTACCGTTTTACCACTTCGCTACTGAATTGAATGCGTGCGTTCTATTTTTCCCTCGGGCAGAAATACCACATTATTGGTGACTGCTGGCAATTTGATCATCCGTATCATACCGAGGAGGCGTCCTTTTTTTAAACCTCCTAACACGCCAGGAATAGGACGCATTTGTCGGCAATTAGTGACGTGGAAGGCGGAGCTGTATGCAAAGGATTGTCGAGGCGTGGCTGAGAGTGACTACTTCACTTTTCCTCTGACTTCTTCCGCCGAGATGTACAAATCTGGCTCATCAATCGTCGGGCGAAATGGTACTCATTGATCTACACAACACTCTGGCCCACAGTGACAAGAAAAACGTTGGACAATTTGATTTTTTTCGTTCCAAATGGGCAACTCGTGCTGAATACCCAAAACAAATATTCTGCTGAGTGGCATAATTAATTTTCAATGAAGGTATTCATTTTTTTAATATTTTCAAACAATTCAGTAGCGAAGTGGTCAAACGGTTTAAGAGGAGACTACTGTTAGTTTTAAAAGTCGTGGGTTATTCGAGTGAGACTTTTCATACGTTGAAGATCGATTATATAGATCTGAAAACGAATAATTAGTGCAAAAAAAATTTTTTTTATTGTTCGTTTGCCCGAAAACGCTTAAAATGCCAAAAACAGTCCAGGGCCTCCAATTTTTGAGCTACGAATGTTTTTTTTTCAAAATTTTCGGAAAAATATGTGGAATAACAATTACGAGCTAGTTTTTTTTTAATTCACCTCTTACATGGCTAAATTTGATTTTTTTGTATTTTTTTTACACAAGTAGTGAATTTTTTTATGTTGAAGATCAATTATATAGATCTGAAAACGAATAATTAGCGCAAAAAACATTTTTTTTATTGTTCGTTTGCCCGGAAAAGCTTAAAATGCCAAAAACAGTCCAGGGCCTCCAATTTTTGAGCTACGAATGTTTTTTTTTTCAAAATTTTCGGAAAAATATGTGAAATACCAATTACGAGCTAGTTTTTTTTTTAAATTCACCTCTTACATGGCTAAATTTGCTTTTTTTGTATTTTTTTACACAAGTAGTGAATTTCTTTGTATGAAAAAAAAAACGTAATCAGCTGTGTATTTCATCCCTTCTACGGATGAAATAATTCATCTCCTATTCATTCATGTGAAATTCCTGCAATTTTTTTTAACAATGTTTTTATTCAAGTTTACTAAGATATTTACAAATATTTACAAATATTTACATGAATTTACATTTTTAAAAACAGGTATAGAACATAATTAGCATTGGATATATATGTCTAATTACATTAAACATTGATCACTCAGTGACTCGAGAGTTTAATCATTATATTTTATTTTTTTATTTTTCCATTATCGTATTTTTTCAGTTTTTTTTCTCCATTCAGTAGCATAATTATTATAAATATTATATGCGCTCAAAAAATAGAAGTATAGTAAGAATAGAAGAAGAAAAATAGAAGAAAATGGACACTTTTGACTTTTTAAAAAATGTTAATGACAGGTTGAATTGTTGGTGAGATGTTTTTTTTTATTTTTCAGTAAAAAGAACGATTCTTTCCCTTTGTGTTAAGCCCAAACTGATTTCAATTGATAAAGCTGTCTCTGAGTTATAAATATTTCTTTTAATATCAAGTGTCCATTTTACCCCACCCTCCCCTATTTAATAAATAAAAAAAAAGAAAGAATGTAGTTGCATTTTATGTGTAAAAAAGCACTTTTTTAATTGCGGGAAAAAAAGAGAAACAAATTCTCGCCCTTTCTCTGTGTAAACGTGGTAGGTGAGAAGAGAGTTTGTTTCGTTTATTATTATATAGTCGTATGTTGAGTACGGGTTTATAAAATGAAATTCCTGCAACCCCCTGAATACCGATAAGATCTGCATAACCCCGATAAGCTCAACGACCCACAGCGAAGACTGTCAAACCCACCTACAACGAAACAAAAACAAACAGTAAAAATGTAAGGGTAACACTGGTGAAACATCGCTAAGAATCACGGTGTAGAGTAACGTTGACACGTTCCGTTTCCGGTGTTTATAAGTGGCCGATTGCTTCTAACAGCCGAGTGACGAGCAATCAACAAAAATCGCACTTCCTCTAATTCCGTATTGGCGTCGTAGAGATGAAAAATGATACGTCACAATTTATGGATAGGGTAATCAGACGAATAGATTGTGCGCTGATAGAACGGATTAGTTATTGTTAACGAATGGATTTTGGTTGGAGGTTAGAGTCTATTCGGTCCCACCAAATGTTCATTCGTTAATAGTTAACGAACTGCAAAACTAGGTGTCTGACAACCATCTGAATTTAAGATGACAGGTGGCAGAAAACGTCTGAATCTTTAAAAGTTTCCGAAAATCTAATTGATGTCTGAAACGGAAACTGATCTCTGTATCTTAATTTCAGACATCTTGGTACGTGAACGATTTCGCAATCGTAAATTACGCTCAAAATCGTCGTAAATTACGATGATTTTTTTCGTATTTTTGATAAACGTAATTGACGTTTTGATAAACGTAAAAGACGCTTTGTTTAGGCATAATTTACGTTTTGCTAACCGTAAATTACGTTTTAATAAACGTAAAATACGCTTTGTTTAGGCGTAATTAACGTTTTTATTTTGACCGTAGAAAACGCTTTTTTAAAGCCTAAATTCCGATTTTCATGACGGAAAAAAGCCACTAGACATCATATTGACGTTAAGTCTAAATGACGTTTATAAAAACGTAATTTACATTTAGCTGTTTCTGTGTGAATGTCTAAAATTATTGAGGGAGTTCACTCAAGGTCACAAGTAACACGATCACCTTCTAGAGCAATATCATCATAATTGAAACCTAATGCTAATCGCCTGGAGAAACGCGCTATTGAAAAAATAAATGCTTCTCTCAATTAAACGGATATTTCGAAAAAATGTTTTTCTCAGTCTATAAATTCTCTTCGATTTTCTCCATCATTTTCAATCACAGAAAGACTTCGGCGGGAGGGGAAGGGGGGGGGGGGGGGTTCGCCCTCCCCTCGATGACAAAAAAAAATGAACCTCTCACCAAGAAAAATTGACAAAAAATTTGAAGAAAAGAAAAATTCGAGGATTTGAGAACGAAATAATGAAAAAATCGGGGAAAAATCTTGAGGAAAAAAAAACCAAGGGGGGATGTATCTGCACACATGGACAGGTGTTGATCCCCCCCTCCAGCCGAGAGGAAAAAGCATCTCCCTGCGAATGAGAGAAATCCCAGTATCCCCCGATGTAGCATAAGAGGGTTGCGCCTACCCCGGTATCCTCCACCAATGGGAACTAATCCCGGTAATCCCCGCCCGCCAATCCGCATCGCCACTCGGTCCGTTTCCAGTCGAGTTGAGGGGCACAACGTTGCGCGCTAGTGTTACCACCGTGCACCCAAAAACTCAACGGGCGATATAACGCGAAGGGAAAAGAAGGCAAAAAGTGAGAGTGTAGAGAAGTGAATGAGAAAAAAAAACATTGCGAGAAATATCGAGAAAAAGAAGGGAATGGGAGTGAAAAAAATAATGGTATTGGCAGTGGTGAACCTCAGCTAACTTGGTGACTTGGTCACTCAGTGACTGTGTCTCGTAATAATCGGTGCTGACGTCTCGCAGTGGCTCGTTTTACTCTACATGTGTGTTGTATATTTATCAATTCACTTCGACCAAATTAATTGACATTTATCAATTAATTTCAACCAAAGATGACATTAGTTAACTGACAGACTGTTTTATTCAGTTAAATAGTTTACCCAATAGCTTGAAAAATGTGATGTCAACTATTTTCATGTTATGGACATTTTGAGGGCTTCAAAGTGACCGAAAAATTGTGACGCAAGGATTTTCCAGACATTTTGGATTTATTTGGATAAGTGATAATGTCCGAGAGTTCGGATCAATTGTCATCGCCCAACAGCGAGTGCAATAGTCAAATGGGTCACCGTAGTTCGGGTGGTTACGTGAACACGATACAGGGATTATCGTTGAATCTTCATCAGCGTCAGCAGAATTCGGGTGTCACGGCGGGGAACAGTCCGAGGTACGGACAGGAACAGAGTGCTTGTAATTCAGTGAATATTTCTAATATCGGGCTTAATGTTACGGGGAGTACTGCCGATTTTACGCCCGAACAGATATCGTGCATGTGCGAAGCACTATCGCAGAGTCATGATATTGAAAAACTTACCAGGTAATGATGGTTTGTGATTATTTCCTTCCCGTCGATTCCCATTTTTTTTTCATTTAGAATTTTCAGTTTTTACTTTTCTTCCCTGATACCTTGACATTCGGTTTTTCGCAGATGTTGAGTGATGATAAAAAACGAAATTAAATCTATTTATTTTGGATATTCTTGCGGTTATCTTAGTCTTGTTGTTGATGTTCGTCATTTTGAAAAATAAGTAGGGGAGGATGGGGTAAAAGGGACACTTTAGACTTTTTTAAAATTATTTATAACTCCGAAACAAATTTATCAATTGAGCTCAGTTTAGGCTCGTCACAAAGAGAAAGAGTTGTTCTTTGTATTGAAAAAAAAATTATTGAATTTTATCAACATTTCAACCCCTCATTAACATTTTAAAAAAAGTCAAAAGTGTCCGTTTTACCCCACCCTCCCCTAGTTGGAACAAGAATTAAGCTGAAACTAGCAAAATATTCGTCCGCGGGAAATTCAATTTAGGGGATATTTAAAGTAACTCTACCCTTACGGTAAATTCGAAGATTAGGGGAGGTTGGGGTAAAATGGACACTTTTGACTTTTTTAAAAATGTTAATGACAGCTTGAAATAGTGATGAAATTTAATAATTTTTTTTTCAGTGCAAAGAGCAATTCTTGCCCTTTGTGGTGAGCCGAAACTGAACTTCATTGATAAGTTTGTTTATGCGTTATGAGTAATTAAAAAAAAGTCTGAAGTGTCCATTTTACCCCACCCTCCCCTATTGAAAACTGCAAAACAAATTCAAAAAACTGGATTAGATTCGGAATTCTAATTTTTTTCTCAAGTTAATTATCGCTTTGGTTTTTCAAAGAAGAAATGTTTAAAAATCAGGATTTAACCCAGTGTCTTATGTGAAAATCAATATTTCCATCGTAATTGGAGATTAAAATCAGAATTTTTTTTCATTAGATGTGAAAAAAAAAGATTTTTTTTGACACATAAAAAATAATCCACCGTTTTGCAAATAAGTTTTATTATTTATTTATAAGAGGGAAATCTTTGAAAAAATATCAATATCTCGCGAAATTTAATTTAGATAATACTGACTGGGTAAGAATTTTTCCAAATTTTTTCCATGCAATTTAGTTGAAAAATTTGAAAACTGAAAATATCCAAAAGTACAGCGTAGCCCGGCCGAAGAGCCACTTTAGAGCCACGGTAGAGCCACTTTAAGTGTAGGAGAGTGAAATAATCATATGTACAAATGTTTTTCAAGTGCGAAAGAGTTTGTACATTACTTAAAAACATTTGTACACACGGAGAGACATGTTCGTAAAAATTCCGGAACTCACAATTCACCCACCGATCACGAATTAAATTTAAGTGACGGTATCGTAATTTTTCCGGAACGCTCCGAAAAAATTGCGTGACAGTTCCGTAAAATTTCCTACAACCACATTTCCCTCCGGAATTACGAAAGAGATACGTAATTTTTATTGAATATTTCTCTCCGTGCACTCCTAGATTGGTTCTAGGTGAATTCATCCCGGACTACTCATCCCAAAACAAATCAGTCCCACGACAATTTCATCCCAAACATCAAATTCCAATGGAATTTTTCACTGTCACAACAATAATTCAGGGAGAGAAAAATATTAACTTTATTTTCACAGAAAAGGGCACTAAACACAACATCACAATCAATCAGATACTTCACGATTCCCTCCTAGTATTGTTTACACAACCGATCAACGGATGAACAGGAAACATTGCAAAAAAACCGTCAAATCATTCTTATCCATCTCAACTAACATTAGGCCACACGTAACAGACCACAGCATCAATTTACAAAATCAGTACAAAACATGAAAATTAATCCGATAAGTCACGCGCTTCAGTCAAGCGTATTCTTCATCCAAACAGTAATAATAAAAGAAATGGAATGAAACTGCCGCGGGATGAATTCAGTAGCGAAGCGGTAAACCGGGTCAAGTCGATTTTTATTATTGGCTAGTTTTTGACGAATATCTCGGAATCTAGAAGAGATAGGAAGGTTTTTGTCATGACCTTTTTTGCAGAGCCAATAGAGCGTGATAAAAAAAGTTATGAGGAAAATTTTGCTATCTCTCTTAGATTCCGAGATATTCAGCAAAAACTAGCTAATAGTCAAAATCGACTTAACTCGGTTTACCGCTTCACTACTGAATTTGTTTTGAGCTGAAATTGTTTGGGATGAAATGTCATGGGATGAATTAACGTGATACCCCTGGATTCGCCTAAGACAAATCTTCTGCTGTTGAATCTTTCGCTAGTTTCAGCTTCATAAAACAAGAACTGACATAGGGGAGGGTAGGGTAAAATGGACACTAGACTTTTTTAAAATTATTCATAGCTCAGAAACAAATGTATCAANGAATTCATCCCGGACTACTCATCCCAAAACAAATCAGTCCCACGACAATTTCATCCCAAACATCAAATTCCAATGGAATTTTTCACTGTCACAACAATAATTCAGGGAGAGAAAAATATTAACTTTATTTTCACAGAAAAGGGCACTAAACACAACATCACAATCAATCAGATACTTCACGATTCCCTCCTAGTATTGTTTACACAACCGATCAACGGATGAACAGGAAACATTGCAAAAAAACCGTCAAATCATTCTTATCCATCTCAACTAACATTAGGCCACACGTAACAGACCACAGCATCAATTTACAAAATCAGTACAAAACATGAAAATTAATCCGATAAGTCACGCGCTTCAGTCAAGCGTATTCTTCATCCAAACAGTAATAATAAAAGAAATGGAATGAAACTGCCGCGGGATGAATTCAGTAGCGAAGCGGTAAACCGGGTCAAGTCGATTTTTATTATTGGCTAGTTTTTGACGAATATCTCGGAATCTAGAAGAGATAGGAAGGTTTTTGTCATGACCTTTTTTGCAGAGCCAATAGAGCGTGATAAAAAAAGTTATGAGGAAAATTTTGCTATCTCTCTTAGATTCCGAGATATTCAGCAAAAACTAGCTAATAGTCAAAATCGACTTAACTCGGTTTACCGCTTCACTACTGAATTTGTTTTGAGCTGAAATTGTTTGGGATGAAATGTCATGGGATGAATTAACGTGATACCCCTGGATTCGCCTAAGACAAATCTTCTGCTGTTGAATCTTTCGCTAGTTTCAGCTTCATAAAACAAGAACTGACATAGGGGAGGGTAGGGTAAAATGGACACTAGACTTTTTTAAAATTATTCATAGCTCAGAAACAAATGTATCAATAGAGCTCAGTTTGGGCTCATTACAAAGGGAAAGAATTGTTCTTTGTATTGAAAACAAAATGATTGAATTGTCATGGGATGAATTAACCGGATACCCCTAGACTCGCCTAAGACAAATCTGCTGTTGAATCTTTCGCTAGTTTCAGCTTCATAAAACAAGAACTGACATAGGGGAGGGTAGGGTAAAATGGACACTAGACTTTTTTAAAATTATTCATAGCTCAGAAACAAATGTATCAATAGAGCTCAGTTTGGGCTCATTACAAAGGGAAAGAATTGTTCTTTGTATTGAAAACAAAATGATTGAATTGTCATGGGATGAATTAACCGGATACCCCTAGACTCGCCTAAGACAAATCTGCTGTTGAATCTTTCGCTAGTTTCAGCTTCATAAAACAAGAACTGACATAGGGGAGGGTAGGGTAAAATGGACACTAGACTTTTTTAAAATTATTCATAGCTCAGCAACAAATGTATCAATAGAGCTCAGTTTGGGCTCATTACAAAGAGAAAAAATTGTTCTTTGTATTGAAAACAAAATGATTAAATGTCATCAACATTTCAACCCGTCACTATTATTTTTAAAAAAATCAAAAGTGTCCACTTTACCCCAGTCTCCCCTACACATCTCGCAGTGTTGATAGTAAACATCGGACATAATTCTCAACTTGTCATTATTTTTTATTTATATCAGATGATCGTCGAAGTTGATGCGCCACTCGAGTTCTATTTGCTTTTTAAAATAGTATTTGAAAATTGTAAATGAATTCCATCATCATCAACGGTGAAGCGAAAATGTCTCGATCTCAAAAGTCCCTCAATTTCCTATTTTGCAGATTTTTGTGGTCCCTTCCGCCGGGTGAACTGCACCGCGGTGGCGAGAGTGTTTTAATGGCGCGTGCAGCGGTGGCATTTCACCGTGGCGCTTACCACGAGCTCTATTCAATTCTCGAAAGCCACCCATTCTCTCCTCGTCGTCACCCAGAGCTTCAACAAATGTGGTACAAATCTCACTACTGCGAGGCTGAGAAAATCCGGGGCCGCGCGTTGGGCGCAGTTGACAAATACCGTTTACGAAAAAAGTATCCACTGCCAAAGACAATCTGGGACGGTGAGGAGACGGTTTACTGTTTCAAGGAGCGATCGAGGAATGCACTGAAGGAGTGTTACACGAGGAATCGTTACCCAACGCCCGATGATAAGAAAGACTTGTCTAAGAAGACCGGCCTGACCCTTACCCAGGTCTCCAATTGGTTCAAAAACCGGCGACAACGAGATCGAACGCCGCAAACGAGACCGTAAGCCAAATAATTGCAGTTGAATTGGGAATGCAAAATGACGATAATTTCTTAGATGCGTCAAGTGCCAGTAGTTTTTATATCGTTGTCATTTACGCTGACAAATCGTACATCTAGATGTAATCTGACCGTCATTTTTGTGCTCGGTAATTTTTTTTGAATTTTTTTCATGAATTTTTTTAGAAATTTGAATAAAATTATGAATAACGCCGGAACGGAAATCGAAAATTTAGTTAACCCCTCACGTACGGGGTCTTTCTGATATCAAGTCCACCACACGCTCAATAGTCTTCGCATCCCATATTTTCTGATGAATGAAAAATTATAAATGAAATATATAATTGAAGCTACAGTATTCACCTTCCCAATGGTATTAATCCGATTGTATTATCTGCCATAGTTTCGGAAATATTCAATTTTGAAAAGAGCCATGCGTTTTTGCATGGATCGGTATGACATACCGAGCCCGTACGTGAGGGGTTAACCCCTTAATATTACCTCAGTATGGAATTGCAAAAAAATCAGAAAAGTTTCGTAGCACTTTTCTTATTTATCATTATCACGGAATCTATAAAGCTCGATTATAGAAAAACAGTCGTAGAAAATTTTTCATTGGATAAATGATGTCGTAAATCTTCTCATTTGAGAACTAATTAAAGAACTCTCAAACATACGGTGCCTAAAGCAGGCTATCTCTTACTAAAATTTGGAGAGCTCTGGGGTCCAAGGTCCAGCATATTGATGACATTTCAACTGATGCTAGTACTATGACATGAAAAAATAGAAGAGAATAGTAAAATACGAATTGAAAAACAGATTACTATACTCATTTATTGAAAAATGCCATTGTCCACTTGTTTCATTTGTTCTTTCCATTCCCGACTGCTTAGCGTGTTTTCGATGTTTCCTGGGATTTTGTTTTCCATGCGTATGGAAGGCACGTGGGACCACGGGGGGTCGCAGCACCCAAAACGGCCTTTTTCCAAGTGCAACAAGTGTCCGAAACACATGTCAACTTTACGTGGACCAGCGGTAAATCATTTCAGGGGGTTTCACACTCAATCATTTATTTTTCTTTCGTTCAGATAATTTGGGGAACTTTGCTCCTATTCTATACATACGTATCAATCACTTCCTATTTCAGTTCCACCAATGCCAAGCAGTCCCAGGAAAAATCATAATCCGATCAATGAAAAATCCAAGTGTTAGCGACATCGATTTTTTGTTAAGAATTTCAGTAAGAGAATTCTGAGAGTCGCGATGTATTAACTCTAGTCTGGTAACCAAACGCGACCCTGCGACTCTGGTCACCTCCGCGGGGATTCCCCGCCGTGTGTGTAGGCTCCAGCGTTGCTGAATTCACTCTACACCACCCGGGCGCGTTTAGCGAGCTTCCGGCAACGTCGCGTCTTGGGCAATTTCATTTAACATGGGAAAACACAATTCATCTGTTCGAAATAATTTGTTTTCTTTAGGAATTTTGAGAAATATGTTGTTATGATGTAATAGACATCAATTATTTTCATGAATCGAGAAAGAATGATCGATATCTCGCAGGTTGATTATTTCGAAAATACCGCATCAGCTGCTTTAGTAATAAGGACTAGCATTATAAAGCGCGCTTCGCGCGCCCGACAATATTTTTTATCCTTGTCAGTGGTTCAATCTTCATTAACACAAACTCATTTTTTTTTCTAATCGTTAGTCGACACTTGTTTGCATTGATAATCGATATTTTCATTTGATTAAAAATACAAAATCGACACCTCGCAATTTCGAGATTTGGTCTTCTCCTTTAGTAATAAGGAATAAGGACTAGTAGCATTATAATGCGCGCTTCGCGCGTGTTAATGAAGATTGAACCTCATCAATGGTTCAATCTTCATCAACACAAACTCTTTTTTTTTTTCTAATCGTTAGTCGACAGTTGTTTGCATTGATAATCGATATTTTCATTTGATTAAAAAAAAATCGACACCTCGCACTTTCGAGATTTGGTCTTCTCCTTTAGTAATAAGGAATAAGGACTAGCATTATAATGCGCGCTTCGCGCGCCCGACCGTATTTTTTAACCTCATCAATGGTTCAATCTTCATCAACACAAACTCATTTTTTTTTCTAATCGTTAGTCGACAGTTGTTTGCATTGATAATCGATATTTTCATTTGATTAAAAATAAAAAATCGACACCTCGCAATTTCGAGATTTGGTCTTCTCCTTTAGTAATAAGGAATAAGGACTAGTAGCATTATAAAGCGCGCTTCGCGCGCCCGACAAAGTTTTTTAACCTCATCAATGGTTCAATCTTCATCAACACAAACTCATTTTTTTTTTCTAATCGTTAGTCGACTGTTGTTTGCATTGATAATCGATATTTTCATTCAATTAAAAATAAAAAATCGACACCTCCCAATTTCGAGATTTGGTCTTCTCCTTTAGTAATGAGGAATAAGGGCTAGCATTATAATGCGCGCTTCGCACGCCCGATAAGATTTTTTAACCTCATCAATGGTTCAATCTTCATCAACACAAACTCATTTTTTTTTTCTAATCGTTAGTCGACAGTTGTTTGCATTGATAATCGATATTTTCATTTGATTAAAAAAAAATCGACACCTCGCAATTTCGAGATTTGGTCTTCTCCTTTAGTAATAAGGAATAAGGACTAGCATTATAATGCGCGCTTCGCGCGCCCGACCGGATTTTTTAACCTCATCAATGGTTCAATCTTCATCAACACAAACTCATTTTTTTTTCTAATCGATAGTCAACAGTTGTTTGCACTGATAATCGATATTTTCATTTGATTAAAAATAAAAAATCGACACCTCCCAATTTCGAGATTTGGTCTTCTTCTTTAGTAATAAGGATGACCCAAATCCTAGTCAATATTTCGCGTCACATGAAAGACAGCCCCCAGACAAAACTGCCATCTAATTCCAAACACTGACTCACTAAGTTCAATCACCGTTACAAGGACGCATGTATTTCATTCACTCAATCCCCGCCACATAATCCTAATTCATTTATCAATGAAATATTCGATAAAGCGTGTTGATACGTGTTTCTCAGTTTTGTTTTCAACAAACAAATGATTACGGGGTATCATGATAAATACTCATCCGCATACTTTCGACCTATCACCCATATAACTCGCTCGGTCCCTCTGGGCCCACTCGCCAGGAGGGGGGGAATTGTTGTGTCTACCGTGTTACGGTCACGACACCACCCGCCCAGAAATTCATTCCGCGCAGGACACAAGAAAAAAAAATAATAAAAGAAATAAATGGGAAAAATATGACGAGAAAAATAAAAGGTGCGAATGAGAATGTCTTCGGATGTCGGATGGACCCATTTTCATGCTTTCCGACGGAGGTTTATATACCGAGGGAAAAAGGAAATGCGACGCCCTATTACCGTTTTATGGCGCAGGATTTGAATTACGTATCTTGTTACACCATTGAGCCTCTCGGCTCCTCTCATCGCTTGTGTCCAATAGTTTTTGATGCGACGATTTTTGGGGTGGTTTATAAAGAGCCGGGGGGCCCCTGGGGGCCGATCTATCTAGGGGGAAATTATGATCAAGTTGAGTGGAAGGAGAATGGGAAAGTTGAGAACGAGATTTTTGAGTTTTTGATGGCGAATTTTCTGGAGAATGTTTCAGAGTGAAACACATTTTTCATACACACGGAGAGAAATATTCAATAGAAGTTACGTATCATTTCGTAATTCCGGAGCGAAAGATGGTTATAGGAAATTTTACGGAACTGTCACGGAATTTTTTCAGTGTTCCGTAATTTTTATCTGAATTTCCTGTGAAAAATTACGATACCGTCACTGAAATTTTCTGAGTCGATTCTATAATCGGTGAGCGAACTGTGAGTTCCGTAATTTTTACTGAACATTTCTGTGAGAAAGAGTGAGAAAAAGCCCTTCAATTCGATTTAAAGGAAAAAAGTCAATGGAATTTAAAGTTTCTCGGAAAACTCAAGTGAAGTTCCAATTTTTAGCGGCAGTTAGACGAAAATTCCACAGTTTATATGAATTCTCTAATGAAAATGAATATTTACTGCCAAATCCCCTTGAATTTTCATGAAATTTCTTTCAAATTTTTCGAATCCCAGGAATTTTTGAAGTAATTCCCTGACAATTCTCCGGAATCTGGAATTCACCCAGAGATTTCTCTGGATTTTCTTGATTTTTCATTAATGTTACGAATAATTAAACTGAAATTTCCAGTTCTACGCATTTCTCTTTGAAATTCTGGATGTGCAATGGCAAAATTCGTTGAAATTCCAGTGGAAAATTTGTAACAGCATATTTAAAAACTCTCAGACGTTTCGAATTACTTCGTTTTATCACATGAAATTCATAAAGAAATTTCATATCTGTCTAATAATCATGAGTCGGAATCATTCATTGCACTGAACGAAGCGAAAAACTAATGATAATTGTTAAAGAATGTTGGAATGATTTCAGTAGCGAAGTGGTGAACCGGTTTAAGTCGATTTTGACTATTGGTCAGTTTTCAATAAATATCTCGGAATCTAAGGGAAACCGCGAAATTGTTGTAATGCCCTTTTTCGTAGCTCTCAATTTGCTCTACAAAAAAGGTTACGACAAAAATTTTGCTATTTCCCTTAGATTTTGAGATATTCATTGAAAACTGGGCAATAGTCAAAATCTATTTATAACGGTTTACCACTTCACTACTGATTTGTTTGTTCCTCAACCTCAACCTCAACCTCAACAAGAAATCACTAACAAGAAAATTTCTCAGATGAAAAAAAAATGTTGACCTTGATGAGATTGCGGAGCCCGGTAGGACGTTAAAATCCGGTGTCTGGATATGTAGGCGGAGTTTCGGTACTGGCGTGTCGTGCACACGCGCATTTCATGTGTGTAGAGCTGAGGGTGCGACGGAGAGTGGGACCCACCGGGTGGTAGCGGCAAAGAACAATGCAAACTCAACTATTTCCTTTCTTCATTTCTCTCTCTATACTCTTCGGTTTCTCGGAAGGCGTCTTATGTGGTTCACACCACGTGCGACATGACAGAGGCTCTAGAGCTAATTACCAATTCGAAGAGTGAAAAATCTGGAGTTTTCAGGCACAAGAGACAATGTCCATGTGGTGGTGATTTTCCCGAAAATTTCATTCAGTCACGGGCTCGTAATTTATCGCTTCCATGTGTTTTTCTTTCTTCTCTACTCTGTTTTTTTTATTCACCGGTGCACTGTTGAAAATTTTCGTCTGAATTCTCTCTGCCATATCCCGGATTTTTTGTCGTTTTCAGGTTCCACTGAAATTTCAGGAAATATGGTCTTTGGAAAATCAAATGTTCCATTTGTTTTCTGTGCGAATGAGCTGGGAATCAGTAAAATACTTGATTTTTCAGTTCAATTGCTTTCAGTGAAAATTCCGAAAATTCAGGGAAAAATTGAGATTTCATAACTATTTTTTTCATAATTCCGATTCAATGTCGCTCTCATGAGATTTTCTGTAATATTTTCTGTGAAATTTCAAAAAATTTACAACAGTGTAAAGTCGTCAAAGGGGTTATTCAAAACTCTATTGGTCGCATCGTAAGCCCCGCACTGTTGAGAATATTCACTTGTAATACCACAAGAGCTTCAAAATTATCGGGTATTTCCCGATAGGTTCGTTGCAAACAAACGAAGGAGTCAAGTTTTTCAGGCTAAAAAATCACGAGTGCGAAGCACGAGTGATTTTTCCTGAAAATCTTGACGACTTCGTTTGTATGCAGGGAACCTTGAGGAAAATGCTCGATTAATTTTGAAGCTCGTGTGGTATTCGGGGGATTATTTTTCCAATCCAAATGTCGGGCAATATAATTGGACCATAAGACGAAACTCACAATTGAGAAACGAAAATTGTATAATTAACACTCATTTCGAATAAAAATCCTCGGATTACCACAATTGAATTCAATCTGTCAGTTTGACGAGGGGTTAATTCGACTGCATGATGTTTTGTTTTTTATATAGCAACTACCAGAGAAAATTATCAAAAAATTATCAGTTGAAAACCCTGTAGCTTGTACCACGTGATGTCGAATGGGCCAATTATATTGCCCGATATTTGGCTTGGAAAAATAATCATATGAATTTTCCGTGTCAAATCGCGGAAATTTTTATCATGTTTAATTTCCACTGAAATTTCAGGAAACTTTGTTACTAAAAAATCTAATGTTCTATTGATTTTTTGTTCAAATGATCTGGAAATCAATAAAATATTTCATTTTTCAGCTCAATTATTCCGTGAAAATTCAGAAAAATCAGGAAAATTCAGGGAAAAATGAAAATTTGTGTCATTTTGTTTTTGAATATTCATGTTCTACTGAAAACTCATGACTTTCCGTGAATTCTACTTAAAATTTGAGATTTCATAACCATTTTTTTCCTAAATCCGATTCAGTGTCACTCTCATGAGATTTATTATAATATCTTCCATGAAATTTCAAAAAAATTCAAACAATTTCTAAAATCGTCAAATTGTTTACTTAACACTCCGTTGGTCACGCCGTGAATTTTTCGTGTCAAATCCCGGAAATTTTTATCGTATTTAACTTCCCCTAAAATTTCTTGTAACCTTGTTACTGAAAAATCAAATATTCACTTGATATTCTGTTCGAATGAACTGAAAATCGCTTAAATACTCGACTTTTCAGTTCAATTCTTTAATTTCAAATCCGAATCTTCACGTCTCAAACTGCAGGCGTTCTCGAATTCACATACCAAAAATTGCACCCCTCAGACAAAATTCATGCCAATTGATATTATTAGACTAATAATATCGATTTGAGCAAACCGACCAAGTCGTCATGATTCCATTCTACCAAATTTTCAGAGAGATGCTCTCACTAAATTGCCAAAGCAACAACGGGAACATGACTAACGGAGTGAGTAGTACCGGCGGCTCACATCAGCCGTTGCAGCCCCTGGAGTCCAGTAGTCCGAACCTTGCAATGTCACCGATATCAACGATAGTTATGTCGCCTGTTGGAATGAATCCCTGCAGTCCAATGGGCATGAGTCCGATGGGACCTCATCATCATGGATACGCTGCACCGGTCACCCCCTCATCCGTGCACTCGGCTCACCCTCACAACGGTGCACTCAGTCCCATGAATGATGTCAAAACCTTGTGCTACGGTCGCGGAGTCTACGATAGTGGTAAGAAAATCATGAAAGAAGTATCAAATACTGAGGATCAGGTAAATGTGCCTGCACTTGTTCTAGTCAGCTATCAAATTTATCCACACAAAAAAACCTAAACGTAAATTACGTTTAAGAAATCGTCTTTTACGCTTGAAGTTGAAGCGTAAATTACGCTCAAAATCGCCGTTAATTACGATTACATAAACGTATTTTACGACTACAAAATCGTAAATTACGCTTAAAATCGCCGTAAATTACGATTATGAGATTGTCTTACAATTAATAAACCCTAAAAAATTTAGTTTCAATTTTTTTTTTAATATTATTAGGCTCACTACGTCAATTTCTTAGTTTTTCGAGTTTTTGACAAAATTTTCGGTTTTAGCAGGAATTATTTGTGGAAGCGGCGGTATGCATTAATTACGGTTGATAAATTATTCAAGTAGAAGATCGAAATCCATTCATTTTCGATATTTACTATTTCCTATTGAATATTGCTATTTGAAAACGCATGCAGAGATGTTGCGGAATTTTCCGATAGAATCGATGAAAAATTGATAGAATTATATGTACGCCATTCAAAAAATTCTTCAACTGACAATGTTTGTTTTCAGTTTGGCAATTATCAAAATCTAAAGGCTTCAGCGTTTTGGGCCACGTGTACTATAAACACAAACGTGGTCTTTTCTAATCCATTTTTCTCCGAAAAAAAATTAACTTAAAATTATTTTGAAGAGTGAGTTTTAATGTGACGTTAATTTTCCCTAGGTAAAGACATCGATCAAACAGCGGTGTATTATTCGAGTCACACCAGCATGCATCATCAGTATTATCAACAGAGTCACCACCAAATGATGACCGGGACTCATCATCATCACCATCAGCAAACAATGTCAAGTGGTTATGAAATTATGTTACCACCACCCCAGCACTCCATGTGACCCACAGAATGTAATTCTCGTGAGGATCAGTCCACGAGTGATGATATTCTCTCGCGAATACACGCATTTGCGTGAATGGAACCGGTGTTAATTACTTAAATAAAGTGCTTACTTGATTAATGCTACCATATTACAGAAGAATCCATTTTTTTCATCTATAAGAGCTTTCAGTCCAGAATTATCAGTCAAACTGGTTGGGTTGAAACGTCTTGTGAATTGTTGAATTGAAATCAACACCTTTGATTCTTTCCAATGCTGATAACTCATCTGGTATGAAAGGATTCAAGAGATTTGAATTTTTTTGTGAAACTCATTTGGAAAATTCATGTGAAGTAGAATTTTCTGTAGAAAAAAACCCGTCAAAAAACCTTTTTACAAAGAAAACCTGACTTTAAAGGCAGTTTCACCCCGAGAAAAAAACCTTTTTGTTTTTCGAGAAAAAAAAATTAAAAATACTATTTTCGAATTGAAAATCGAGAATCGAATTTTTTTAATGAAAAATCCAACTTAACACAATTCTCAACGCATTTTTTTTCGAAAGTTTTATTGAATATGAATCAATTGATTAAAAATTCAAAATTAGAAATTTCATTATTTGAAGAAAAAATCGATAAAAACCTCTGAATTTCAATTCAATTATTCCCGAAAAATTAGTAGAAATCAGGTAAAATTTAGATAAATACGTTCTTAAATTTTCAATTCAAGAAAAGTTCATCGTACTTCGGCACTGAATACCCATGATTTCATTGAAAATGCAAATAGGTTGAAATTTCCTGATTTTCCCCTTAAATAGCATTCAATGTTACTCTCCGGAAAATCACTAGTCGACGTCCACGAAATTTCATTTTTTCTAAAACAGTGTATGAGCGCCGTTTGAAGAAATCTTCACGTGACCTATTTTGTCGTCGAGAAAATTTTCTCTGAAATCATTAGTCATTGGATGATTTCCCTATCCATACTATAGAGATAATGCACTATTTTCCTATTCAATTGATTGAAACTCCATTCAGTAGTCGCAAATCCCCTCTATTAGCCGAACCCTTTCCCCTTTTCCCTTTCTTACGTTCCTTTAAAAAAAGAGAAGCTCATTTTACTTCTACATAGCCGAGTGAAGAGTCATGTATACCCGTACTCACCAACTTGAACAAATAGAGTGAATCGTCCAGTGTTCGAACGAATAAGGTCACAGTTATTTTTGACGTAGATTTAAAAATATAACCAAGTCGAAAATTGATTTAAAAATAATTATAACTCCCCTGTACATCTCCATAGATAATAGAAAAAAATATTATGGATATTAATTGACGATACAATTAATGATATGAATACAAAAAGCTGAAAATGTGTGAAAACCCAGTAATCGAAATGCGTATTCTGTAATGGGAATATGCTATTGGCGGCGTGTCATCGAAAACTATTTTTTCCGCTGGTCATAAGGTAACTTAGACATTTTCAATCATCACCATATCATTTGGAAATGTCATAATTTTATTTTTCATGTATAATGCGAGGCATCTCTACCTTCTACTAATTTATTTTATAGAAAAAGTACCAATTAGTCCGATTACTGCTCTGGTTCGAACACTGGTTGGTTCACCCTAGAAGAGAGCAAAAAATCATGAAGTAGCTTTTCAATGGAGCAATTGATTGCAATTGTACATTACAATGGCAATGCAGTACGAAGGGAAATTATTAGATAGAATAAACATAGTCGTATGTTAAGACGAAAAAAACGTTGTAAACATTTTTATCGTTCCATCTACTGTAAATACCATTGACGAAGCAACAAATGGCGTTAATGACTCCGTGTATGTAATGTATATAAAACAATCAAAGTTTAGTCTGTATCGTTTCAAAGTATATATTGGTTTTTAATAAATAGTACTGAATTTAAAATGAACAGAATTTCCTTAGAATAATTTGTCATCAGAAAATAGAAAGCTGAAAATTAACATGAAAAACGAAAATTGATAAAGTATTACCACTTGAACGTAAAACTGGAATAGCTATTAGCACAAGTACGTAAGTCATCACCGGCTGGTAAAGTAGAAAACGTATGGGATTGTTATCTGCCTAGATTGTTTGCATAATTCCCCTCTTGCTCTCTTCGCCCCCTCCGTTACACACTACTTCCCCGACGCTCGTCCTAATAAGCCAATCAGATGTCAGTAGTGAGCGGGACGATTGAGAACCGTCATGAGAATGAACCAGGTACCTCTCTCAACTTGAAAACGAACACCGATAAGAAAATTATTAATAATATAATTTATTAAACAAAGTATTCACGTGTTCTATATTTATTAGAGTCCAGTATCACAACGATTTTTGTCATAAACTACATTACTAATGACGACGACTGCAGTAGGACTGAAATTAAAATTGACATAACAAAATATAATTCAGGAATGCAGAAATGACCTATCCTCAGAGTAACTTTGATAAATTTGACAGGTTCTCTCTTCAACCAATCGGAATACATTGAGTTTGCGAGACATCATTAAAGTATTTGTTGAGAATTTTCAGCTGCAGACAAATTTATTATTCATATGTCTAGGCAAAGTGGCACAAACATGGGGCGATAATATCATTTATCAGAAAAAACTTGTGCATTTCTGAAGGAAATAGTTCAATAGCTTCAGAGTTTCTCGGATTCATTGGAACATTTCTCATTATTCAATGCATCGACTTTGAATCGAATTTGAAATACTAGATGTGCGCATTAAGTTATGCGCATGTCTCAGATTCGGATGATTAATTGCAGAAGGGGTAAAGGGCCGTTCGTAATATGCGAACATCTAGAGCGAAAATATGCAAACAGCTAGGTCCTGTGCGTTCTGCCAGTATTCGAATTGCCAGGTTCTACTGCACTACAAAGGACGATGAGGAGACAAGAAGGGAAGGGTAACGCGAGTCCATTGAAGAATGAATCAAGTGAGATATACAAGAATAATGAGCAGAAAGAGGCTATTAGGAACATTTGAATGCCCTCAGGTGGATTAGCCCTCCTTTAATTATTTACAAACAGTTTCAAAGCGCTACAGGAAGGGTGCCAGCCCGGGGGACTTTTTAACTCAGAGATATGTCTACCAAGCTTGCTTTTAGCTCAACTTGCTAAATGTACTTTGAGTAACTCAACTTTTCCGGACATTCATTTCCCACATTTCATAATAATTCTGGCAAAGGAACACCCGTAAACTAATTTACAAAAATTATTCTCAGGGAAATGAATTCATATTCACGTATCAACAATCTTTTATTGAGTCTTCAGTTTTTTAACATACAATAGTTATTCGTAACGCGTTAATTATTGGTTTTAGTTATTTCTCATTGATTTATTTGATACGTTACACTGATATGAATGTATGTTCACAATGATACTGCTGAATTTTGTTTTCATCCACTCAGTAACGAAGGGACAAAACGGGTCAAGTCCAACACAATTACATTCGGTGAAACGTGATGAGGCGAATTTCACATTTCTGTTAATCCCTCATTAATGTAAAAAACGAGTTATTATTTGTTATTATTTGGAGGTCGGTAATTACTGAAATAATTACATAGTTAACAACAAAAACTTGACTTGGCAACAAATAATTTTACGACATAATCGGAAGGAAACAAATTACAAAGGAAATGTTTCGTGATATTCCTTTTCCAAGTCATTCCTTAGCAAGATAATTTCGTAATTACTCGGATGTATTGGCTTGAACAGTTCCATCACTTTTCTACCAAATTCCAGGACACACGAGCATTCTGAATGTCTTCTCATATTAGACAATTATTATTTCATCTCTCAATGACGGCTAAAAACTCTCCATAACTGAGAGAATAGCGAAACGCAATTTGTTCATTGATGAAGGAAGCAACGCTAATTGCTTACGACTAATTGATCTTTCATTTTTATCCTTACAAATTTGTCAGAATTTTTATATTTCTCATGAATTATTTGTTTTTCCATTTTCATTCGAAAAAAAAATGTTTATTTTCATGTTTTTTTTTCAATATCCTTTAATCCAAATATTTGTTTTATAAATATTGTCTCCAAGGTACACGTACGAAATTTAATCCTATGTTATATTGACAATAAATATATTTATACTGCATGTGTATATGGTTTGTGTTTTTATCGTAATTTTATTACTATAATTACGTCTATATATTAAGTTTAAATGCCTAGAACACTAAATCATTTTATTTTCATTATTCGTTTACATGAATTAGAGGTTTGACGATGTCACATTGAAAAAATATATATCAATTTAAAAAGGACAATGATATCTACGTGCGTATTTAGATACATGGATATGTGTAGATAGTTTTTTTTCTCATATCATTGAATCAAATGTGAATTCCTCCTTTTTGTTTATCCATTTAAAAAACTTGAAAATCAATTTCCATTGAAAAAGAAATGAAAAAATATTGCATTGAACATGATGATTCTTTTCTGATTATTTGCGCAGTCTCGAAAGCGTCGATGAAGCATGAAGAATATTTACAATAATTGTATTTCAACGATTCTTCAAATTCCTCCCCATTTTCTCATGATTTAATCCAACAACTTCATCAATTATAAATATTACATCAGAGTTAACCGTTTATTTTTATCCTTATTGCTTGATAATAAAAAAAATCGAAAGGTCTTAAATAAGTTTGACGAAGGAAAACAGAAACAGTCTAATAACACAGCTAGTGGTTAAACCTAATTAAAAGTGAACAATAAAGTCTGATTTTATTACACTAACAAACTCATCATGACTCTCGAGTATGTGTTAACGTTAAGAAAAATGACAAATAATAATCTATCACTATTCTCGATATGGCGAAATAAAACATTCTAATACTTCAAATCTCTCTGAGTGTCTCAACTCGTCTCAACATCTGCTGAAGGAAGGAAAATAGAAAAAAAATTGAAGAGAATAAATCCGTAGTGGTCTAGAGATCAATGTATTCAACTACCGTCTATCACTCAGATTTATTTATCACTACGAAAGAAGCCGAGAATTGGTGAAAGTTGGATGCGAGAGGAAAAAATTTTAATGGCTACTTTAATTAAAATAATTCCTCAGTTCCGAACGGCTGGAGATGCAGTCCCTCTCGATTTTCTCGAATAAATTTTTACAATGGGAAAATAAAAATAAAGGGATCATGCTTTTTCTTAAAGGGGCACAACTTTTTCACTTCGATGTACCGGTGTATCGTATGCCGGCACGCATTTGTAATACTGAGCCGGATAAGACGAGTAGAGTGTTGTTGAGGGCGATAGGCGGCCGCGAAATCTTCCGCGTGCGACGTAGATCATTAGTAGAATGACGAGTAACGTCAGAACGGCTATTAGCGTTATTGGAATAATCCCCCAACTTCGTGACACCTGATGTTCATTCTTGGTTGAATTCTGGAACACGGAGAGAATGTTGAATTATTTTTTACAGCGGGTGAAAATGACTTCCGTCCACCAAATAAACATGGAATGTACGTCCTTAAGGTGTTTCGCGTGTAGATCATCCGGGGGTGAAACGGAAGGGGAGTCTCATTGTTCTCGAGCCCTGATTCAATCGCTGAGCACCAAATTTTCCAATATTCAAGTAACTATTTAAGTGTGCATTTAAACATTTTTTGAATACTGATTTTATTTATCAGATTGATTGATTTTTTTCTCATCACCTACGGGTGTCAAATAATTTTTATTGGATGTTTTTTTAATTATTGGAATAATATTAAAATGCGTCTCGAGTTGGTAAACCTGTCGAGTGTTTTCTCTCTCTCAGTTCCATGGTCCAACCCATACCTTTCCCATGGTGCTCACTGACATTCGAATCATGCGCCTGCGCGTGAGGGCGTAATTGCCCCGAAACTCATAATTTTCCGAATTATTTGTTCAAATAACTTTCTTATGAAATATGAAAAAAATCTGAAACTTGTACGTGTTCTCAAGAAAGATTGATTTATCACCCACTAATTTTTCCTCAATAGTTCATTATTTTTGTGGGTGCCTTGGAAATTCCCTTAATTGAGAGTGGGGTAACCTCGGAGATTAAAGCTGAAGGGGTTACAAAAAAATGCAAATTTCATTGGTTTTTTTCTTGAGACTGAGATCTGAAAAAAATGCGCAAAAATTCTCAATGATGCAGCATACTCAGACATTTCTTCCATGAATTTTCCATTTTTTTTTCACTATTTTGACTTTTTACACAAAACACCTTAATTTTCCAGTTTCATCAATGAAATTCCTTATTCGATCAATAAAATGGAATCTATCAACTAAAATAAGCAATATACAGTAGCATAAAGTTGACGGAAGGAACTGTGAGGGAAGATTGTGAAAAATTGTCAGGACGCCGTGAGGGAGATGATAAATGTGACGTCAGTCATCGGAAAGAGGGTTGAACCGATAAGTCGAAGCATTGTTATCCCGGCGACTTATAATACACCCAACGGAGAGCATTTCTTTCCCCACCAACAATGTGCGAACACTACTAAAATATTAACCAGGAAGAGACGGAGGAAACTTCGGAGATAAATTTGATGTTGAAGGAGGAAAACGGTTTGAGTTGCCATACTTGCGCGATTATGGATTACCCTCCATGTTCCGCATGGAAATTTTCAACGATTTTTATCATTTTTTTTTATAAATACTCTATTCTCTCCTAATAACCAACGAATTAATAATGTTTTTACATAATTTTTGAATTTATTATTTTTTATAAAATGACCGTTAAACGCCACGAAGGATCTTGAGTCGAAAAAGCATACGTAAATTGGCATTTTATCCTCTCTTTATTAAATTTTTTTTTTTTAAAGTCTTTTTAAGTGGTTGCGGTCGTTAAATCGTATGTTTCGGCTCGATCTCAGCCTAAGGGCTCTAAGGGCTCACCTGAGCCGACTTCTTCCTTTAGGGCTCAGCCTAGCTCGGCTCCGGCCGAGCGCGAGGTTGCTAATAGAGTAACCGACTGTACCGACGTTTTCTGGGGTTCCCCGTGTTTCCTCCGTTCACGAGAGGGCAAATGCGGTGGAGTGCATAGTCGGCGATCACCGCACGATTCAGTAGGGGCATAGTTTGCTGAATAAACCCGACAAATACTTCCAGCGTAAATTAAAAACAAGAATAAGATGTGAAAGTCTCATAAACTCATTCACAATGGTTTCTCTGTTCCAAAATTTAGCGGTAATCACGGGTCTTTCAATTTTTTTCTCTGCCAAAAATGATTAAATTCACAGAAAATAAACATCCAGCTGTAACCAGCCAATGTCATGCACGTGCCGCATGGACACATGGTCCTTGGTCTTGGGCCTGTTTTTCCGAAACTTCAGAAAAAAAGGGTCAGACCCTTTTTCTCACTTTCAACTGAGACACATCCCACTTACCTCCCATCTAAAATTTTCTGCACCAATGAAGTCTATGAAATAATAAATTCAACCCCCTTATAATTTCAACGCACAAATTCGAGAAGAGAAAAACTTTTAAGAGTCAATCCACGAGCAACAGCCGAGTGAAGAAGTCACCTTATAGTCAACCGAATCGATAATTTTGTAGCCGAAATGAAAATAAATAATAATCCTGAGTGTGTTCATCATAATTTGGAAGTGATTATTTTCAGGAATTGAGTGAACCCTCAATAATTATTTCATTTTTTTACATTTTTTGCTAAAAAAACATGAACCTCCATTATTACGGATCCCATAAACTTGACACACATCTAGTGATATTCCGCTCTAGAATCACTGCCTTCGTAATGAATGAACTAACATAAATGAAGAAACTTTCATGTCTGACTACAGACCTTTTACTCCACTGAATTACTGAATTATCCAGCAGATGTGCTTGAAGTATGGGAAACCCAACGAAACTAACAATTCACGAATCATTTTCATTGCTCTGTAAACCCAGTTCCGTTCTAATTAAAGTTCAGTTCCAAAACGGTAAAACGGTTCAAGTCGATTTTGACTATTCGCCAGTTTCCAGTGAATATCTCTGGATTTAAGGTAGATAGCAATATTATTATCATAACCTTTTTTGTAGAGCGGATTAACATCTACTGAAAAGGTAATGACGAAAATTCCTATATCTCCTTTAGATTCGGAGATATTCCTCGAAAACTCAACTAAGTCGACTTAAATCGGTTTACGGCTTCGTTACTAAGTTTTTTTCGTTGCATTTTCGTAATGGTTTTGATGTTTTATTTTGGATCGATTGTTGGATAATATCAGAATGGAATTCGAGAATATTTCTTTCAATTAATACCCAGATAATGGCTTACCTCATTGATGGGACAAACCGGACAACAGGTGCCAAGTTTACGTGGCAATGGATTTGAGCATGCAACGGAGCACACAGTTTCCTTGCATATCAGCCGTCCCAGTGTATCGCAGGTGCACGATGTGCAAACATCAGGCTGCCAAGATGAGCCCTCGGGATGTGTTTCATTCTGATGATCCGTGCAAGTCGCCCGACAACGACAAGTCTAGAATCAAAGGTAAACCTTCAAGATATTCGCCCCTTAACATCGAAAACAATGTGACGTTTAAATGTCACGATGAGTTTATAAATCCAAGCTTTCATTGAAAAATCAATGATTCTTTAACCTAAAAAACGCAATTCTCTTGAATTTTCAAGATGAATGACAAATTTAGTGAACGTTTTCACTTGAAATTGAATTCGACCTCAGAACATCGAAAATTCAGATGATGCTGCAGCTGAAATTTCAAGAAATTTCTAGCAGTGTATTATTTAAGAGACGATTGAGTCTGCACAGATCAGACCTGAATTTGCCTCCGACGCGTACAAAAGTCGTAAACTCCTTGTAATCAGTCAGATGAGAAGTTATCATAATCAAGTAATAAATTCTCCTATTTAAATGCCAATAAACCATTGGTGGGATTCAGCCATTCCAGCCTAGAGCCCACTATAAATTATAGGTACCCCCACGCTGAGTACAACAAATGAAAATATGAGAGAATAATATTTACCAGACATCCACGTCTATTGAGTTTATATCCATAAGGGCATTTCTTCTTGCATCCACTGATTGTTGAACATCCAGTTGCATGCGGCTTACATTGACACACTGTACAGTCATTCTCATCCATGATTAGACCTCGTTCACAATGAAGATCACATTTAAGCTCAGGACATGTGATACCACTGTCATCTTCCTCTTCACTCGGTAGTGGTACATTTGAAGGTTTAACAGAAACGTCTGATTCAATGCTATCCTCACAAGCGCAAACAGGACAACCACCCTGGTCCTTCTCGAGCACACAATTGAGACCACAGTGCGGTAGCTCCGGGCAAATTTTGTCCGTTGGATCTAGTCCCGTAGTACTCTGCAAATAGAAACGACCGAGTAAAACCATTGAGAACCATGTTCTCTGCAATTTCACGTTTTATCCCCCTCCAACTCTCCTTTTTATTCTCTATTCTCCTCGTCACAGTCCTTTCAACCTTATATTCTGCACTATCATCATTTCCCTTCTGCCGTTCTATTCTCTTCTGCTTTTATCATTGCTGCATTGGAGTATTCCTTGTATCTCATAATTTCTGAGAGTCCTTCATCTCTCTCATACCAATGAACTGAGAAAATATATTAAAAACGTGTTCGACCAACCGTGAATTATCTAGTAGATAGGGATGAGCTTTCGAGTAACTTTGCGAGGAGAAACGTTGAGTGAATTTATCACACGGAGTTTTGGGACAAAAAGAGAAGAGGGTCATTCAAATATTCGTTCGGAGAATATCAAAATGGTTTAGTTTAAATTTTAGGGGTCGTCTAGTATTATTATTCCAACACGGAGAAAAAAGGTAGAGAAAAATTACCGAACAGATCAAGTAATGGTGGAGCAAACTCGATTGTCAGTACTTTTTCACTTTGAATAGGAGGAAAAATGCGAGATTAATAGTGAGTTTTACTGCGTTGGCCCGAGAAAATTTACTCAACAGAAGGATAATTTTAATTCATTACCAAGTTTTCGAAAAAAAAAATAAAAGAGGGTTATTCAAATATTCATTCGTAGAATATCCCAATCGTTTAGTTTAGATTTTATGGGTTGTTTAGTATCATTGTTCCGACAAATAACATTGAACGTTGAGTCTCAAAAGTACAGAAATTTCAAATGGATTAAACCAAACAGAACTGCAATAATAAACTGGTTAGTAATTGGCTTCTTCCCGTCTTAATACGCCTCCATTCCCTCCTGAAAGTTTACGAAGGTAAGAGTTAATTCGGAAGTTCGTTAACGCTCTCAATTCCAATGAAATTCAAATCCCCGGGCAACTAACGGAAAAGATGAGGAATCCGTTCGGATAACCTTCCTATTAAACAATTAGACACAAAACTTTGGTGCATATTCCAGGTTGATCCGATCAACAACTTATTTGAGTTTCGAGGTAGCGCGCTGATATTCCGCGCAAAAAATTAATTGATCGTACTTGCTACATCGCATTCTGCAGGAATTTCGCGGGACTGAGTAGATTGGGGGATCTTGTTAATTAGATTTTCTTTGGGAAGAAAATCTAATTATTACTACAAATCTTTTACTGAATATTTCTCTCCGTGTAGTACCTGAGTGACACTCGGACATTGGCAAATAGGGCATCCATCGTCGTTCTCGACTCCAAGGTGACAGGGTAGCTGACAATCTTCGAGTGATTGACAGTCTGATATTGGCACGACAAACGGCACTGTCGTACTCGTAGTAGCGTCGCTCGTTGTAATTGTACCCGTGTCATTCGTCGCATCGTAACAACGTTCACAACATTCACCAGGCACCCGTGGCGCCTTATGCTCGCAACTTTTACACATTGTTATGTGGCACGAAATACTCCCTTTTCCATTCAATTCCTCGCAGGTACAATTAGTGCAGGGATCATAATCCCAACGATCGCCTATCGCTCGTGGCACACCGTTGTAATCAACACAATCCTTCGGTAACCGACTGTCATCTGTATCATCCCATGATACTGGTTCTGGAAATGAATTCAATTTATTAGTTACATTGTGTACATTGTGATTGTTTTTGTGTTGTTTGTTTGTTTGTTTTTATTATGTAATAATGTATTGTCTTTTGGAGATGAGGCAAAAATAAGAAATCACGTTTCCTCGTCGGTGTTTAATTACATTAAATTCCAACTAACGATTGCACTTAAGTGAGGACTTAATGGAATATCGTTTTCTTCGCTAGACTCAATAATCATGAATGACTGACATCATTCCAAAGTTTTACTTCCTTCTCTGATGTTTTTATTGAAATAAAATATCTTGAAACCCGCATTAAAACCGTTTTTGAAGCGTGTTATAGCATGCAATCAACCGAGGGACAACAGCCTGATGAATTGAATGAATTCATTGACTAGTTACGATACCAGAATTATGCCATTATTGCAATCTCAATGTTAGCATTCAAACACTGCACGCCGCAATTGTGAATTTGTGGTGAATTCAATGAATGTTGTCCGAAACTGAGATCAATTATCTGGATATCACAAGGCCGGAAAAATTATTTGTTTTACGGTTTCATTTACAGTAATCGTTTGTCTCGTTCATATTAATAGACAAGAAAAAGTTTTTGATGATAATTGGCATAATATTCGTAATTATGGGAAACGAAGGTTCAATTGAGCATTAATTCATGGAGAGAAACGAAAATCCATTAAAACGGATTGCAATGGGAACAAAACAAACAATACCCTACCGATGTGGGAAATTCAACTAAACGGGAGGATAATTTTTGCACCCATAGATGTATTTTTTGCCGAGAAAATCGTAAGCCTATCAAGTGGACAACTCAGTTGAAAAGAAAAATAAAATTGACAAAATAAATAATTCACGTTACAAATTGTTTTCCTCATCAAATTATAAGTGCTATGGCGTACTTTTCCGGTTTCAAAAACAATAATTAAAGAAAATGTTCATAAATAATGGAGGACTTGAGACTGCAGTGGTAACAGTCGAATTTTGATCGGGCAACATCGCACGCTTCGGCTAGTAGTGGGGTTGTAACAGTGAGATGAATGTTTGTGTGTGTTATACGTGTCCATATGCTTCCAGCACTGAATTATCGTCACCGACTTTACCGACCTCGATCAGCTGTTGTGCGGTGTTGTCGCGTTGCTCGACTCGTAATGGCGGTCAAATTTTTTTTAGAGAAATTCGAAAATCAATCGAAGATATCACGCCTATATGGCCCGGTCCCCACTTGTTCTCGCCGGCGATAGATTCTCTATAGTCTAAAGTAAATGGCTTGTGGTTTTTTTTTCAATATCTTGAGTGTCTAACCCATGGAACATCTCGATCAAAGTTCACGCGGTCACGTATCTTCCCTAAGCGTAATGTTACAAGAAGTGATTTTCAGAAATTAATTTCTCACTAGGATCCCCCGATGGAAGGATTAAGATTATTACTGACGTGTCGCTCAAATATGAGCCGGCCAGATGAGACAATATCAAAACAGCGAAAGAAATCATTCATTGCGCCAAAAACGTGATCCAGCGTTTATTGCACTCCAGGAACCCCTTTGCATATTGGAGGGTTACGCATAACCTGGATCACAGGTATCTCCAAGAGAAACTAGCTTGCTGGTTGGCTTTAGTAGGCACCGAGGATGTATACAACTAGTGTAATTACCTGAGGGAATGCAGTTGTAGATAGCGCAACAGCTGCCTGGTACATCGGGTGATGCAGCCCTCACTTGAACAGGCCGTTCACCCTGCGTGCATTTATTTGGTGGACATGGTGATATACATTTACACTCGCCATTCTCCGTTGGTATGCTGTCTTTTGGACAGATTATACCACGAACTCCTGCAACATAAATGAGAAAGTTCATGTAGTGTGTTGAAAACAATTTTGCTAATGGCTTCATGCATCATAATTACGGACGAGTTCCATGAAAATATCCTTTGATTTATCATTTCACTGGGTTCGTCAGAAGATTGTCAATAGAATGCATGATCTATGTTGGGAATTGACAAAGGTGAAGTGTTTTCTGTGTCCTGGAAGTGCTTTTTGTGTCAAAAATGGATAGAAAGATGAAAGTTTAGTTTGAATTTCTATTTTTTTATGAACAGTTCAACGAGAAGTGCAATGTTTGCATTTTACGTTAATGTTGGACATTGACTTGAATTCAATTTTGAGTTGATGAAGAACCCCACAAATTGCTGAATTAAATTTTTGTATTCAGGTTCAGACAATTTTCATTATACTTCCACTGCTTCACTATTTTACTAGTGCACTAAAACGATACTATTATATTTACACTGATAGAATGATTCAGTTATTCCAAATGAGATTCGTTAACTATTAACGAATGCTAGAGTTGAATATGACCAAATGAATGTTCGTTAATAGTTAACGAATGGTTCACTTGAATGGCGAAAGTCAAGTGAAACAAGGCTCCTCAAATATACATTCGTTAACTATTAACGAAGGAACATTTGGTGGGACCGAATAGACCCTAACCTCCAACCAAAATCCATTCGTTAACAATAACAAATCCGTTCTATCAGTGTATAATTTAGTGGATGAGTTCCATGTAATCGCGGTGTCACCCAATTCGCCTGTGAATAGCCCTTCGCTCAATTCGCTCTACAAAAAAGGTTATTGCAAAAATCTGCCATCTCCCTCAGGTTCCGCGATATTCATTAACAACTGACCAATAGTCTAAATTGATTTAAACCGATTTATCGCTTCGATACTGAAATGATACTTGGAACTATTCTTACCATGCTTCAACACAGAGTTCACTGACAACTTGAAATTTGACCGATGAATATTGAATCAATCATTGACAGAAAACCCCATTCGCAACTTCAATAAAATTTATTCGCCCAAGACTGAGAATTCCGCGTAACGATTTTCTTTGATGTCACCCAAAATATACGAAGCTCCAGAATTAAAGATTGTATCGTAGAAATCCCATTCCACTCCTGCACTTTATTTACTCCCGACATTTCGTTAGCGCGAAATGGCACGGAGGGAGTCCACGAATGCCTGTGCATACGATCACACCTCACGTTCCTCTAAAAAAGCTTGAGCTCCTGAATTATGCGCCCGAGTTTTACCAGTGAATTGAAATCAAGAAAATTCAGTATCACGATTGAATGCGGATTATCCTGCACCTCGATTTCCCCGAGAAGTGATGTAGGAAACGGGTAATGAGACGCTGTGAATGTTCAAAGCTACCACTCCATTGCGTTGTACCAAAGCGCAGTGCATAGAGATCAAAGACTCATCGTGAGTTTGTCAATGATGTCTGCCATAAGACACTGCACGCTACCACAGAGGATTGCTTGGCTCGTTTCCATAAACCATCTGAAGACCGGAATTAAGTGCGACAAGCGTTCTTGAGACTGTATGCTCGCGTTTAATTAAGGGTATCTCTTCTCCGCTTAGGTGTCACTATCCTGACACAGAGGAGCCACAGAATTTTCGTCTACGTGTCTCAAGTTCATTCAACATTCACGTCTACGTTTAACCACGATTAACCCAATCTGTCGTGCAGACAGAGTTTGTGTATATCCTTCTATCTGATATATTATCATCTCTCTCGAGTTCTGAATTAATTATTTGGGTCGTAGAGAGTGAATCACCAAAATTGAATTTTCGTATCAAGCATACTGTTTTTTGTTTCTTTCTTCTCGATAGAGGCCACTGACGCTGAGAATGATTTATTGTCGAAATTTATAGCGGTTCAGGAGAGTGGAAGTGGGCAAAAAGTAGAGGAGATTTATAACGCGGGAACGGAGTTCTTGAATGAAATGAATATTTTTAGTTCTCCGGGTTTCTTCATCATTTTTGTTTAGGTTTAATCGGTAATGGATTTTGGGAATGGCTCTGCTTGGAGCAAGTGAATGGATGAGTATTGTTACAAGATAAGCTGACTCGCCGTTTGACGAACATTGATGTGGTAATCTATTGACAGAAGAATTTGGGATCAAAGAGATTTCATGACGTTCTCTTTTGGAATATTTAAAATTATTTGTTACACTCACAGAAAATTACTTCTGATCAGTAGAAAATTATGATTTCAAGAGCGTGAATTACGATTCTCATAATTGGAAATCAATTTGGTTTGGAGAGCCCCCATAAAAATCACAATCTACAGATTTTTTTCTACAAAATGTCTTCTCCTGAATACTTATATTTACAAAAATGCGCAAGAAAGCTCATTTTGTCCGTCGATAATATTCGCTTTTCTCAATGAAGTAATCAATTGAAAGTACTGAAATCATTTTATAGCTATAAAATTCAAAAAAAAATTCTATAAAGCCGTCAATGAAGGAATTCAATGTGCGAATCTCCGATTTTGAAAAAAAAAATCCGATGGAGAAATGAAATGGAAATTGATGAGAAGATTTCTCCATTCACTGTAGAATACCCCAACGCTGTTGTTTTCATTTTTCATATTCCTTCAATCAGTGATAGGAAGCAGCGGTGAAGCAATTAAATAGAGAGGCCGCTTTTTCATCAATACAATGGGAAATGGAGGAGATGGATCCATATTCTATTCAATCTCGGAAAGAAAAATATTTTTGCTCGTTTTTGGTTGAGTGTATAATAGAGCTGAAATTTTCCTATTTTTTCGACCTCGCCTGGGATCAATGTAGCTGTGCATTGGAGCTTCGGGATTAGTCCACGGCTACAGCAATTTCACCAAAAGAAACACGTTCATATTATGAGAGTGTGTTATTCCCACAATTAATAGAAGATTAAATGCTTTAATCCCGCGAATGAAATATCTATTACTATTATTACTACTATGAAAAATCTATTATGATTATTGTTATTGCCGCTATTAATATGATTGCCAGATAATATTGTATTTCATAACTGAAAGGGCCTAGAAATACTTTTAAGGGGAGACTACTATGAATTTTAAAAGTCGTGGGTTATTGGAGTGAGACTTTTCATACGTTGAAGATCGATTATATAGGTCTGAAAACAAATAATAAGTGCAAAAAAAAATTTTTTTTAGTTCGTTTACCCGAAAACGCTTAAAATGCCAAAAACAGTCCAGGGCTTCCAATTTTTGAGCTACGAAGGATTTTTTTTTTTCAAAATTTTCGGAAAAATATGTGGAATAACAATTACGAACTAGTTTTTTTTTAATTCGCCTCTTACATGGCTAAATTTGCTTTTTTTGTATTTTTTTACACAAATAGTGAATTTTTTTATATAAAAAAAAACAAAATCAACTGTGTAGGAGTCGAATTCGAAAAAACTGACTCGTAATTGTTGTTTCACACATTTTTTCGAAAATTTTGAAAAAAAATGTTTTGTAGCTCAAAAATGGGAGGCCCTAGACTGTTTTTAGCATTTTAAACGTTTTCGGGCAAACGAAAAATAAAAAAATTTGTTTTTGCACTAATTATTCGTTTTCAATCTATATAATCGATCTTCAACGTATGAAAAGTCTCACTCCAATAACCCACGACTTTTAAAACTCATAGTAGTCTCCCCTTAACAAATCCATGACGCTCGGCAATGATAGCCCTACATTGTTATAAATTTCTTGAAATTTTAGTCACAATGTCATCTGAATTCTAGATGTTGTGAGTTTGAATTCAATTTCAAATGAAAACATTCATAAAATTATCATTCATCTTGAAAATTCAAGAAAATTTGATTTTTCATTTCAAACAATCATTAATTTTCCAATAAATGCTTAAATTCCTAAACTCATGCTGAAAATTGAACATTACATACAATTCAATTTTCAATAGATTGAGAATTCAAAGAAGTTGCTGGCTGAATTTTCAAAAGCTTCAGTGTTTTTCAATCACTAGTCTTACCGCGATAAAAAATATATTATTACATGTAAAATAATATAGACACAAAACAAAACTGTATTCTTAATCATATAAAATAATTAATTTGGCTGGAGGCCCCCGGGCGATGCCAGTTGCGAGTTCTTTGGAACTTGCAACAAATTTCGTTAAAGATAAAAAACTATAATTAATACAATTCTGTAAAAAATTAGAGAAAAGTCAATGAATCAATTCTGTTATTATTCTACACTACCGCATAAAAATCATTTCCTCCACCGACCCAGACACTATCCAAACAAGAGATTGAGTGCGTCTGACCGAACAATGACAATTACTACTTCTCCCAAGAAAATTCCCCGAACTTTCAGTCCCAATAAACTAAATCTCTTCATCCTCAGTCGGCATAATTTTTTCCTCTTTAATTGCTCTCTAGAGACCTGGAACTGCACCAACTTGAGTTACCATTGGAACAAGGAAACGAGGCAATCTCACGGGAGACCCGAAGTGGGCCCCCCGCAGCCCTTGCATTCTGCGTTATTCACCAAGATGGTCCACTTGGAATCACGTTTTCTGCATCCAGCGATATACCTAATTTTTAATGCACTCTCAGTCCCTCTCACCTCCGCCATCTCCTCCAGGAACGTATTTTCATAGTTGGAAAATTTTCCCAATTACGTGCCGAATCTCTCAGTTGAGTGGAGTTTTTAGAGGAAAAAAAAGGTCTAATGTGTAAGTGATAAGAACGGGGAAAACTTCTACAAGTGCCCACTGAAAATACGCAGCTCCCGTCTTTTTCGCTATTTTCACATTCCCATCGACTCCAACCCTATGGAAATAGTCATAAAAATTTGTTGCTATCAAAAACATTACTACTATTTTTTTTACAGTGTAAATAGTAAAAAAAATGAAATTGTGAAATAGTTAGTTTTACTGGGTTAAATAATATATTATTACACGTAAAATAATATACAAATAAAACTGTATTTTTAATCATATGATATTAATACTAGATGCTTTAAAAAATGTTACACTGGA